TGGACGGGGGGGGGGGGGGGGGGGGGGGGGGGGGGGGGGGGGGGGGGGGGGGGGGGGGGGGGGGGGGGGGGGGGGGGGGGGGGGGGGGGGGGGGGTGGGGGGGGGGGGGGGGGGGGGGGGGGTGGGGGGGGGGGGGGGGGGGGGGGGGGGGGGGGGGGGGGGGGGGGTGGGGGGGGGGGGGGGGGGGGGGGGGGGGGGGGGGGGGGGGGGGGGGGGGGGTGGGGGGGGGGGGGGGGGGGGGGGGGGGGGGGGGGGGTGGGGGGGGGGGGGGGGGGGGGGGGGGGGGGGGGGGGGGGGGGGGGGGGGGGGGGGGGGGGGGGGGGGGGGGGGGGGGGGGGGGGGTGGGGGGGGGGGGGGGGGGGGGGGGGGGGGGGGGGGGGGGGGGGGGGGGGGGGGGGGGGGGGGGGGGGGGGGGGGGGGGGGGGGGGGGGGGGGGGGGGGGGGGGGGGGGGGGGGGGGGGGGGGGGGGGGGGGGGGGGGTGGGGGGGGGGGGGGGGGGGGGGGGGGGGGGGTGGGGGGGGGGGGGGGGGGGGGGGGGGGGGGGGGGGGGGGGGGGGGGGGGGGGGGGGGGGGGGGGGGGGGGGGGGGGGGGGGGGGGGGGGGGGGGGGGGGGGGGGGGGGGGGGGGGGGGGGGGGGGGGGGGGGGGGGGGGGGGGGGGGGGGGGGGGGGGGGGGGGGGGGTGGGGGGGGGGGGGGGGGGGGGGGGGGGGGGGGGTGGGGGGGGGGGGGGGGGGGGGGGGGGGGGGGGGGGGGGGGGGGGGGGGGGGGGGGGGGGGGGGGGGGGTGGGGGGGGGGGGGGGGGGGGGGGGGGGGGGGGGGGGGGGGGGGGGGGGGGGGGGGGGGGGGGGGGGGGGGGGGGTGGGGGGGGGGGGGGGGGGGGGGGGGGGGGGGGGGGGGGGGGGGGGGGGGGGGGGGGGGGGGGGGGGGGGGGGGGGGGGGGGGTGGGGGGGGGGGGGGGGGGGGGGGGGGGGGGGGGGGGGGGGGGGGGGGGGGGGGGGGGGGGGGGGGGGGGGGGGGGGGGGGGGGGGGGGGGGGGGGGGGGGGGGGGGGGGGGGGGTGGGGGGGGGGGGGGGGGGGGGGGGGGGGGGGGGGGGGGGGGGGGGGGGGGGGGGGGGGGTGGGGGGGGGGGGGGGGGGGGGGGGGGGGGGGGGGGGGGGGGGGGGGGGGGGGGGGGGGGGGGGGGGGGGGGGGGGGGGGGGGGGGTGGGGGGGGGGGGGGGGGGGGGGGGGGGGGGGTGGGGGGGGGGGGGGGGGGGGGGGGGGGGGGGGGGGGGGGGGGGGGGGGGGGGGGGGGGGGGGGGGGGGGGGGGGGGGGGGGGGGGGGGGGGGGGGGGGGGGGGGGGGGGGGGGGGGGGGGGGGGGGGGGGGGGGGGGGGGGGGGGGGGGGGGGGGGGGGGGGGGGGGGGGGGGGGGGGGGGGGGGGGGGGGGGGGGGGGGGGGGGGGGGGGGGGGGGGGGGGGGGGGGGGGGGGGGGGGGGGGGGGTGGGGGGGGGGGGGGGGGGGTGGGGGGGGGGGGGGGGGGGGGGGGGGGGGGGGGGGGGGGGGGGGGGGGGGGGGGGGGGGGGGGGGGGGGGGGGGGGGGGGGGGGGGGGGGGGGGGGGGGGGGGGGTGGGGGGGGGGGGGGGGGGGGGGGGGGGGGGGGGGGGGGGGGGGGGGGGGGGGGGGGGGGGGGGGGGGGGGGGGGGGGGGGGGGGGGGGGGGGGGGTGGGGGGGGGGGGGGGGGGGGGGGGGGGGGGGGGGTGGGGGGGGGGGGGGGGGGGGGGGGGGGGGGGGGGGGGGGGGGGGGGGGGGGGGGGGGGGGGGGGGGGGGGGGGGGGGGGGGGGGGGGGGGGGGGGGGGGGGGGGGGGGGGGGGGGGGGGGGGGGGGGGGGGGGGGGGGGGGGGGGGGGGGGGGGGGGGGGGGGGGGGGGGGGGGGGGGGGGGTGGGGGGGGGGGGGGGGGGGGGGGGGGGGGGGGGGGGGGGGGGGGGGGGGGGGGGGGTGGGGGGGGGGGGGGGGGGGGGGGGGGGGGGGGGGGGGGGTGGGGGGGGGGGGGGGGGGGGGGGGGGGGGGGGGGGGGGGGGGGGGGGGGGGGGGGGGGGGGGGGGGTGGGGGGGGGGGGGGGGGGGGGGGGGGGGGGGGGGGGGGGGGGGGGGGGGGGGGGGGGGGGGGGGGGGGGGGGGGGGGTGGGGGGGGGGGGGGGGGGGGGGGGGGGGGGGGGGGGGGGGGGGGGGGGGGGGGGGGGGGGGGGGGGGGGGGGGGCGGGGGGGGGGGGGGGGGGGGGGGGGGGGGGGGGGGGGGGGGGGGGGGGGGGGGGGGGGGGGGGGGGGGGGGGGGGGGGGGGGGGGGGGGGGGGGGGGGGGGGGGGGGGGGGGGGGGGGGGGGGGGGGGGGGGGGGGGGGGGGGGGGTGGGGGGGGGGGGGGGGGGGGGGGGGGGGGGGGGGGGGGGGGGGGGGGGGGGGGGGGGGGGGGGGGGGGGGGGGGGGGGGGGGGGGGGGGGGGGGGGGGGGGGGTGGGGGGGGGGGGGGGGGGGGGGGGGGGGGGGGGGGGGGGGGGGGGGGGGGGGGGGGGGGGGGGGGGGGGGGGGGGGGGGGGGGGGGGTGGGGGGGGGGGGGGGGGGGGGGGGGGGGGGGGGGGGGGGGGGGGGGGGGGGGGGGGGGGGGGGGGGTGGGGGGGGGGGGGGGGGGGGGGGGGGGGGGGGGGGGGGGGGGGGGGGGGGGGGGGGGGGGGGGGGGGGGGGGGGGGGGGGGGGGGGGGGGGGGGGGGGGGGGGGGGGGTGGGGGGGGGGGGGGGGGGGGGTGGGGGGGGGGGGGGGGGGGGGGGGGGGGGGGGGGGGGGGGGGGGGGGGGGGGGGGGGGGGGGGGGGGGGGGGGGGGGGGGGGGGGGGGGGGGGGGGGGGGGGGGGGGGGGGGGGGGGGGGGGGGGGGGGGGGGGGGGGGGGGGGGGGGGGGGGGGGGGGGGGTGGGGGGGGGGGGGGGGGGGGGGGGGGGGGGGGGGGGGGGGGGGGGGGGGGGGGGGGGGGGGGGGGGGGGGGGGGGGGGGGGGGGGGGGGGGGGGGGGGGGGGGGGGGGGGGGGGGGGGGGGGGGGGGGGGGGGGGGGGGGGGGGGGGGGGGGGGGGGGGGGGGGGGGGGGGGGGGGGGGGGGGGGGGGGGGGGGGGGGGGGGGGGGGGGGGGGGGGGGGGGGGGGGGTGGGGGGGGGGGGGGGGGGGGGGGGGGGGGGGGGGGGGGTGGGGGGGGGGGGGGGGGGGGGGGGGGTGGGGGGGGGGGGGGGGGGGGGGGGGGG